GATACTACAAAAATGCCGAAGATGCTTATAATTCCTTGCCTAACTGGTTTCACAATATAGCACCAAAAATCCCAAAACCTTTGGAGTATGTTAGATTCCAAAATAAAATGCCATGAAAAGCCAATAAATAAAGATTATGAAAATTTGATTGTTAGACCGAAAGTTTATTTCAGGGAAGAATTAGCGCAACGGGTCATTCTGACAGAAGCACGAGTTCAGGTGATCAAGAAACCTTTTTCTTTTTTTGGCAAAAAGATATCGTGTATGTCCAATATTTGTCCGTGCTTTATGGAATGAATTTTTACTTAAGAAATTATTTGACTTTCCATGAATTCTGCTTAAATCAGGCGAATTTTTACTTAAAAACCGGTTTGATTCTCTGTTCGACCAAATTCCAAGTTGGTTGAAGTAAATTGGAGTAATTTATTTTATGTACTTTAGAAACCTAAAACTTACGCCCCAACTTCTACAAAGCTTGATCTTATTGGCTGTGGACTGTTACCCCTCAGTGTGCAAAGTTAAGAAAGAATCTCGGGCTTCACATAATTTAACTGTTGTGAGCGCAGTTTAAAATCCCAAGGCCCCAATTTGAGAAAGTAAAAAAGCTCATTCCGGTACTTTCTCATTTCTCCATGTTTCTCACAGCTTCAGTTCTAGTTTCTGCAGAATTTTCCATTCAGACAGCTTACTGGCCGAGTTACAGGTTTGGTTCCAAAATCGACGCGCAAAATGGAGGAAGCAAGAACGGACTTCCACAACCCATCCATATGCAGCTGGACATGCAGTTGCCCATCACGTCCCTCGTCCACCTCATCATTTGACACAACCGCATCCTTATGCACTTCTGGCTGCAGCTGCAGCACACCAGTCCATGGACAACTGCGCTGATCGTGTAGCCTTCATGGCCGCAGTGAATGCTCAGCAGCAAGCGCTAGGCAAGTGAACATTTATTTTCCGCACATATGGTACTATGTATGATCGGTTCCCTCTTATAAAGACTTAGTCGAAAGCGTACCAGCTGCCGGTACGAGTACGCTGTTTTTACACAGTTCTTCCGCAGGTTTTTTTCGCCAGTGGCAGGTTCTTCCCAGCAAATGCTTCTAACTAAAAGAATTAGGACTGACCACCACGACTGTTAGAAATTATTACAATGACTCCCAATCCATGCCCAAAAAATTCAGCACTCTAGATGCTTCGGTTGCGGGGTTACGTCAAATTTCACGTATTCATGCGTGTGTGCTGACGTGAATGATTCCTTTGCCTGCGATTGCTCAAACACGGTTCTGGGCAGCGCTCAGAAACTTTCAGCACTCCAGCCGCTCTGGTTGCAGAGTTACGTCAAATTTTATGTGTGTACAGGTGAAACGTACGTGAGACATAAAAGTAATGTGTAAGTCGTTTTTGCGTGCATCTGGTCAAAAGCCACTATCGGTTATGCTCAGAAAGTTCAGATCCTCTGGCTGGTTCAATTCTGAAGTTACAAAAGCGCATGCATGAAATTTTCACATGTTCGTACGTGAGATGAAGAAGAGCTGACAAGTAATTTAGTTTCACGGACGCAACGGTGGACTACAAGTAAAGCTGCAAAATTGCAGCTCTCTACAGCTTATTGGTCAGCTTAAATCTGGAGTTGGCACGATGCCAGTTTAAACTTTGACGTGTACGTACGTGA